TCGGCAGTAAAATATCCAGATCAGTCAGTGTTTGAGTGCAAAACAAATTATGGGTGCAATAAACTGCAGCAGATTCAAGCATCCAGAAGGTTAATAAGATAACCAGTATAGTGTCATCCAAGCATTCAAACGGTGTGTAACATTCAGTGAGTAAATGTTGACTTCTGCGAAAACAAATATCTAGATTTATCCAGTGCTGTACAAAGGAAGAATAAACCTATTCTCTAGAACAGGGGAACAGTATATGGAAAATTTTCTAAATATTGCCACCTAAGTACTTTGATATATTTGTATGGTCAGCATGCATTTCAAGTATTGTTTTGTTTTTCCTTGTCTTCTCTCCAGTACTTAAAGGTGTGGGGTAAACCTGCATTTTTTTCCTAAGCATTTTTCCTTCAGAAATCCCATAGCAGCACTGGCATATGCTTTTGCCGAGACATCCCTTCCACATTTCATACCCTGTTTAAAAAGCTATAAAATTAGATGCTAAAGATATTACTTTAAAGTTAATAAGACTGTCGAAATCAACTCTGTAGTTGTTGACATAACCTTAACAAACTAGGTAACCTGTTCCAGATCTCAGATGGTTGTTCTTTAAGAAAATGAACAATTAAACCTTACTGATTCATTGCACAGTTTTTTTAGTTATTAATGAATCAGGATTTTGGCTTTAAGATAACTGAGTTTTTAATATATGTATGTATTAAATGCTAACTAAGTCAAGAGAAGCAAATTTGTGTGTTACTTCTCGATAGTTTCTTACGTTTCAAAAAGAGAGCAACTTCAACTATTTATAAACTGTAATTAAGTTTCTTTACGACATGACTCATTCTCAACAAGCAAGTCCTTTTTCTTTTGCTTTCTTATGAACTGTGTGGGAAAATTAGGGTTCAATCACTGAAGAATTTACTCAATGCTTAATTACCCAAAACAGCCCTCCAAGTTCTGCTCATGTAGAGCTTTCATAAAGGCATGATTTTCCCCACACTATGGCTTTCTAAAACTTGACTTTTAAAAAATTATCTGTAAATTGTAACATAGGAGAAAGCAGTGTTTTACTATGGTATTGGCTTCTTTCTCTAGTCTGCTTCTTTGAGCTCCTCTTATATTAATAGTGTGATGCTTAGGAAAGTAAGAAATCATCAGGATTAAATTACTTTGAGCATGAAACTGAATTAGAAAGCTTTACTTTCCTGAATGAGCTAATTGTTTAAATTTTCCGGAGGAAATGTTTCTATTTCTGTGAGAGAAGGGGTAAATGGGACTTCCTCTGACATAATTTTCATTTTAAATCTGAGTTTGACAGTAAGATTTTTACCTTCATAACCAAATATTACTGCTAACTGCATGACTTGTATAAGCCTGCTAGTTGAAGTGACTCATTTACATAGATTAAGTTATTTTTAGGGAGATAATTTGCACTGTTTAGAAGAGAGGAAAAAAGGGAGAGAGCGCCCTACTAAGAGCTAGATCCCTCATTATAGTTTACAGAGCTCGTGAACCCAGCATCCAAGCAAAAGATGACTAAGCAAGGGGTCTATTGGTACTTTCAGGAATTTACAGACATGAGTCATCTGCTTATTTTCTGCAGACATATCACCAGGGTACTTTGTGAGTCAGCTGTTATTTGGAAATAGTACTTGTATTCAACATGAATACGTTTTTGTAGTTCTTGGGTAACTAGCATGCCAAACCAAAGTGGGCTTTTATAGTTTGCCTAGTTCAGGTGTTGATTTTAAAAAGCAGTGTGTTGTTTTTAACTGTGATGCATTTTTCATGAGAAAGTGCAAATATTGTCTGGAATGTAATTATGATAACACTTGCCTTTGCCACCTTGTGTATTGCATGAAAGCAGATCTGATTTCGTATTAATGCACATATTGAGAGTCAGATTGTATAAATCACCAAGATAAAAAATTTTCTATATCCACCTGTGCTATCCTGTAAAAATGTTAATTGCAAATACGAGCAGAATTTGACTGTTTATCTTCAAAGCACCTTGCTAGCATTGATTACCAATGGTATTTGCTTATTTTTCATGTATGATAAAACACTTCACCCCAAATCCAAGTGTTCTGTACACACACAGTGTCAATGGACGGGCATCTACTGCGACGGAAGCAAGTTCTTGTCTTCCCTTCCTACTGCTGAAATAATAGCTGGTTACCTTGAGATATCTATAACACTTTAAAACTCAAGGCTATTTCCTGTTTACTGGTCTAAAAGACCTAAAAGGTGTGGTTGTGTTCCAGAATTACGGACAGGTTTTTTTACTTGGTCTGGGCTCATCTCACACCTTGTATTAAGGAAGCGGTTGGGTTAGAAAAATGGGAGTTTGGCAATTTTAGGTGAAGGGTAGTGTTAGAAATCAGAGGCAGGTCAAATTTTTCAAAACTTCACTTGCAGTTCAGGGTGATACTGCTGTTGGCCAGATGTGGGATGCACAATTTTAAATCTAATTTGATTATTTGATTTAACAGTTTATAATGTAAGTAATTCCTGAAAATTCCTATACAGGTTTTGGTTAATAGAAGAAGAACATGTTTTCTGTTATATTTTGGTGGTACCTTTGTTGTAATAATACTTTTATAAAATAAAGGCTTCTCATAATAAGTGGAAGTGTCTCTGTAGTGAAAGCGATGTCTTGATTATCCATTTAAACTGCATTTCTAGTGCTACATACTTTCTCTTAAGTGCAAACCTTTAATTTTAGGTAACAGGAAGAAAACTGCTGCTGCTTGGCCCAGTTACGTAGACAGAGGTTTTCAAAGGAAAGTTAATGAAAGTTAAAAATTCTCAAGTAAAAAGTTAAGTATAAAGACTAAACTAGTGCTCGAGTGTTTTGCTAGAGTTTGTTATTCCTTTCACACAGTGATAAAATATACAAGTATACTGAGTAGTTTTCCTTTAAGGAGTTGGTGCTTCAGATGGAAAAAGATGCACTAGAGGAACAGAGTTTAAGCACTTGGAGCTGAAGAAGTATATTTATAATGTCGAAACAGAGAGCCTGTCTCCTTGCTTCATACTCTTTTCCACAGTGAAGTCCTTCAAAGGCTGTGGCACACATGTACCATCTGTGAGGGGAGGAGACAGCTTGTTTGCTGATAAATGGCCTCAATACACAAATGTTTTTCAGGCTTGTTACTTAATAATCATGTTTTAAAGAGGAATTTGGCAGAGCAATCTTTGAATCTAACCTTTGTTACAGCAGTGATCTGCCCTGAAATTAGCAAAACACTGCCCATGTCATTACCGCTTAAATATCTGCTGGAAGCTGCTGTGTGAGCTGAGTCACCAGGACTCTGGGAGTTATCACGTGTGGCTCAGACACTGGGTCATGAACTGAGCAAACGCTGTCATCCGCAGTGATTTGTTGTATTTTGAGACTATGGCTGGAATATTGCATTTGGTTTTATGTACTTCATGGCTACAAACAGTTTTACTTTTAGAGCTTGGAGGGTAATTTAGGGAAAAAGGAGCTATGGTGCGGCTGATGCACATCCAAGTATTCAGACATGATTAGAAAAACTGAAAAATGAAGGAACTAGCAGGATGATAGCATGGGATATGGAAAAATAAAACCTGTCTTACACTTATATCTCAGTCTATGAGCAGAGATTTCAAAGGAAGTGCTGGAATCTCTGCTCCATGAAGCATTTAAAAGTAGAAAATACAGTGCATTACCAAGCATATTGGAGGGGAGATTCTGTTCCGCCTGAGGATGGGTTTAGGCCTGTAATGTTCCTTTTGCTTTCTTCAAATTCTGTTTGTACTGATGTTGCCACCTGCTTTGATTCCTACTTCAGCTATTACAACCTGTTTATTAACTTAGGAGTCTTTTCCTTCTCTTGAAAAAGGACTGTGAAATGACAGAGAGAATGCTGAAAACCCAGGCTTATATGAATGAATTATGACCTTATTAATTTATTTCACTCATTGCTACACCAATAGAAAAAAGATTTATTTAAGATTTACAGGGAGTTACTGTTCTATTGCAGTGTTTTTTCATTGTGCAGAATTAAAGAATTCTGATCTGGAGGATAACAAAAAGTATGGTCGTAGGTGCTTTATAAATGAAGTCTACACCTTTAAAAGAAACGCACATTCTTCTTTTAGTTTTGGTGTTAGATTAGACATTTAATGTAAATAATTCTAGCCTGTTGTCATAACTCAGTTTACAGATTTCTGAAGCCTCCTGAAATCAAAAGTAGACAAAGAAAATCTAAACTGTGAATGTAGCAAAGAAAAAGCTAAAAACCAGTTTCTGACTGTATTATTAACTGTTGTAGTCAATTTTACTGTTCGGCCAGACCTAGCTGATCATGAGACGGCAATAAGCAAAGAGAACTAAGAGTTTCTGATTTTTATTTTTAGTGAGATATTTTGGGTATTAATGACTTCGCAGTGTGTTTTTCATTTTGTGGGAGTTATTTTATCTAGCAGATGACAGCACGTTGAGATCTTTTCCAACTCATGTGACTGAATCTTTCTACATGCTTTATCAAATCATTTAACCACTTCAGGTCTCACACGGCTGTAAAATGAGAATGGTGTCCGTTGGGGTACTAAAATAAATTGGCTGAAGCAGATAGAGGAATTTGTTTCTTGAATGGAAAGCATTCCAAACAGAATGTATTTTGTGAATTTTTGAAATGGAAAATTTCACTATAAAGGAAAATAACTGTGGCGTTTTTTTCTATAACAAAATAATCATGTGTAAATGTTATGATGAGCATAGAAATACACTAGCTAAACAGTTTTCTAATTATGTACTTTACAAAAACGTTTGATAAAGCAAAGCATCCCATACAGCAATATGTTGGAATCATTACTTATAAGAAATACAGAAATGTATTTTAGAAGTAATCAACAATTTCTCCTTTTCTGTCACCAATAGAAAATAGAAAGGAATGATATATTCCCAGTAAAAAAAAAAAGGAAAAAAAATGCAATGGTGTATTTTTGTGACACTTCTTTTTTTTTTTTTTTTTTTATTTTAGTTGACCTACCCCTGTACTTTCCTCGAGATCAACCAACCCTAACATTTCAGTCTGTCTACCACTTCACTAACAGTGGCCAGCTGTACTCCCAGGCCCAGAAGAATTACCCTTACAGCCCCCGCTGGGATGGCAATGAAATGGCCAAGAGAGCAAAGTAAGTCAGATTGCTGTTTCCTACTAAATATTCCATTTGTTACATGGTCATCTGTTGGTTGAAATTTCATGGATTCAGTGTTACAAAAGCTGAACCTGCTTTTGTTCGCACATAGTCCTAGCATTCCCATCTATGAGTATAGACAGATACTTTATTAATCATGCTTATTACAGTAGTGCCAGAGGACTGATCAAAAGAAGTCTCTTTCCGCTAGGCGTTGTACGGGCAGAGTGATGACAATCTCTGCTCCAAAGAGCTTCCAATCTAAGTAGATAAAGTAGCCCCCAGCAGGAGTGATCTGCATGGTAGCAGTCAGTCAAGGTAACTCCATGGTTTTGTGTGGGTGTTGAGGGGACCCTGAAGGGAAGCATGTGAGATGGAGAGAGTGAGGAAGAAAAACCTGAAAGATATGGAATTAGGCTGTAATAAAAAGACATGGAAGAATAGGTGGAGGTAGAGCAAACCACCAATCTGGCATAGGAGGCAGTCCTATCAGAATTTGAGAAAGTTAGCTGGAAGTCTGAATATCTCTTTCTTTACTGCTTTTTCTGTTGGCTAGAAACAGAGAATCTCTGACTCTTTCCTCTGCAGTTTTTCTGCAAGCCCTTGTTTCAGGCTGGGGAGACACCACTTCTGTCCCAGTATCCCCTTTAGTTAAAGATGACAGGACAGCCTCCCCAGAACGATTCTGTGGCAAGGGCAAGCTGCCCTGGGCAGTGGTGCCCCTTTTGTATGTTAGATATTGTCCCCATCTTCTAATGAAGCAAACCAGATTTTACCTGAATGGAGCAATATGAACAATGGCCTTGCTGCAGTATTTCGATTTTGCGAAGTGTAAAATGTTAGAACAGCAAGAGACTTAAGCAGGCTGATTATCAGTTGTTCAGCACATAAAGGCATCAAACTGCATTAATAACAAGGCATATTGGGATGAATGTTTTGAATGACAATCAGAAGATTAAATTAAATCAGCAAAGATGCGTAAATAAAAGTCGAATGAAAACAGTTCAAGCTGAGTAAATCAAATGAATGGCATGGTCAGGGACTGATTGTAATTTGCGAATGATGGACTCAAACAACAATTGACTGAAGCATTTTCAGATTTCATGCTAATTTAAATTTTATGGAGAACATCAAGTAACACTTGATTTTGGATTTTTGATGCATTGTAATAGAAATTTTTTTGCTAGTATTTGGGTTTACTACTGTACTGTCTAGGAGAGCCATTTCTTGATCAAATATGAAGATTTTTTTTTTGTGGACTTGTTTCTTTTCTCTAGCAGAACATTATGAGTATCTTGTTTAAAAAAAAAAAAAACAACAAACCAACAACAAAACACAAACCTGAAAGCATTACTGTGGCTTTTTTTATGATCATACTACAAAATGCATTTCTTTTTCAGCTGAAAGCTTACAAGTACCTATGTGCTGTCTGCTAAGTGCATTCATTTATGAGTGGGTGTATACAAATGGACTTTTCTTCCTGCACTTGAAATTTAGAAGTATTATAACAATTCTTTTTAAAAGCACTAAATGTGTACACTTACTATCACATGTATTTTTTGTGAGGTTATTCACTCTTATGTTTGAGCCTTTGCATTTAAGTTTTACGCTGGATACATAACATGAGAAAGATGATGAGAAGAGGGGGAAGAAAGTATGCTGCAGTGTCTGAAATAACTATCATTGAGCTGCAAAGAGACAGAGAAGCTGCTCCAGTTAAAAGTGCTTTGCTTGCAGGAACAACTAGTGATTCGTGAGTAGATACCATAAATAAATCTGTATCAAGAAAGGTATGATGTTATGGTACATGTTAGCATATTTTAAGAAAAATTTTTAACACAATTGAGCACCTTATCTAAACAGTGTTTAAAATATTTGGTAGGGCTTCTTAGAATAGGTTAGTGTGTTTCAACACAACCAAATAATTTTTCATTCTATGTTATTTTTACCATAGCCACGTTATGGACCAAGTATATGGGAATATATGTAGATACATAGGAAAGCATTCTAATTAAATATATTCGTTCAAGCACCACATCAAAACATCCCAAATAAAAACAGAAAAGGATACATGATTTAGCGTCTAGAAGCAATGTAATTCTGCTCAGCTGAAGTAAATTTAGCCCAGGATAAATCAGGGACAACTTGTTTGTGTTTCTAAATACTGTCTATTAGGTTTTGCTTCTATGTAGTCTTTTTCCCTCTTAGCCAAATGGTCTCCCAAGTGCGTGGCATCCTTTGATGCTCTGTTTATCTTTCTGGCCCTACTGTTCTAGGGCCACAGGATCTCTTACTTAATGTTCTGCTATCTGACCAAATTCTCTGCCCTTATTCTCAGACTCTTGAGGGTTCAGTTTACACACCATGTTCCTCACTGTAGCTTAAGACACCATGAAGGACAGCTTTTGCTTGCTCTTGCACCAACTGGGTTCATTAGCTGTCCAGTCATGTACTGAATGAAGCATGTGTACCGCATTGCTTTATAGCATGTAGAAGCACCACAAAGTTTGAAATACCATCACTCAGATTTCCTCATCCTCAATTCTGGCAAGCCCTGCCTCTGTTTTTGGCAACTCAACCCAGCGGGCTCATTCATGGGCGGAGCTGTCATAAATTCATGCCAAAGGGACTTTGATTCTGTGCCCGGCCTTCTCCCAGGGTTCTTTTGGGGTTTTTTGTGGGGGGTTTTTTTCCAAACAGGTGAGCCCATCCAATTCCTTCAACTCAGGGCCTGAACTTGAAAGTCTTGGTATCCTTGCTTATCTTTGTGGCCCCTAGCAGAGGTAGGCATTTCTTTTGAAGTTGGAACTTAACCCTTTGCTGTAGTCTTGAGACAGTCAGTAGTAATTATAAGTAGCAGCAAAATTACTCCCCTGAAATACATACATATAGAAGTAGATTGTACGCATTCACACTTAGACACATATCACCTAAATCTAAAAGGCAAATTCTCAAATCAGAGTATAAGTTTAGCAGGATCTTTTTCATTCACAGAGAAAAACAGCTCGTGTTCTTGCTGAAGTAATTGGACCAATTTATCCCTGCCTGATAAAGTCCATGAAATAGAGTCTCTCTCTCTGTGTCCTCTTAAGCAGTTTTTAAAATCACGTGGCTCCTTTGAGGCCCACTGACTTAGGTTCCTTGCTGAGTGATAGCATCTGGTAACTGAAGCTTGCTATTGTCTTAGTGAAGGGATTGCCCTCTGGCCTGATTTAATTCTAAGGGATGAATCAAGTCCTGATTAAATAATGTGATTTCAAGTGCCTCCAGATTACTTGTTTCTCAACTAATCGCAAAATTTTAACCTGTTCCTCCAGCTAGAAACAGGGAAACCAAAAATTTTAACATTTTCTTACAAGCTGCTGAGATGCCATTTCCTCTCTGTTCACATCTCAGGCTTTGCCTCTGTTAGGTCATTTATTTATATGTCTGTGGCCTCCTACGTAAGCAGCTTCTTCAAAAGATTTGGTCCTAAAATACAATACCAAGCCTAAGAAAATACAAAAATACAGTAAATTATGGAAAGTTAGCAGCCTTGTTTGTGGTGTACGTGTGAAGTAAAACATCTCTGTGCGGTTTCCATGGGAAAGCTCTCTTGTTTTTTGCTTAAATAGGCATTCATGTGTACATAAATGGAGTCTTTAAAGAACATGCAGACTCTAAGCCTGGGATTTTATGAAGGAATAGTGTAAATAAAGCTTGCTTGTTTGTACAAATTAAGTTCAGTTGTTGGATGCACTCTGGCCCAATTTCTGTCTGACCCAGTGCTGCTCTGTAGACTTAGGTTATACTTCAAGGAGAGCAAGTCAGGACTAAGTTTACTCTTTTATCCTACATAAATCCACCTACTTGCCATTAAAAATAGCAGGAGGATGGAAAACTGGTATCACAATAAAAAGTTGTTCCAAGTGTTCATATTCTTTTTTTCAAGGTAGCTGATAAAACTGGTTTCTGAATAACATTGTTGTCCCTGGCCATTTACTGGTGTTTGCTGAACATGCTGTTAATTTTCCATACTCCTCAGGGCTCTGCAAGGGTGAAAGCTTAAAAGGACTCAAGTGCTCTCAACTGTATATTGGCTGTTGCTCTGCCATAAGGTCAAGTGCAGCTTAAGATTATATGCAGACACACCTTGTGCAAGCTACATATGTATCACCAGTGCGGCTGCAGGGAAGGTTTGTGCTCAGTGCAAGCATGCTGTGATTAGAAAGTGTCAGGCTGGTGCACTGGGCTATGGCATTTTCAGCCCCATCAATACCTTTTCCTTGATTATCATCAAATTAGAGGATGTGTATCATGTGAAGGTGCTGGGTGCTATTTGGCTGAAATAGTTGCTTTAAGCTTTAATGTTCCCTGCTAAGGAGAGGAAATACATCTTCTGGTCTAACAAAAAGGTATTTGAAAAAAGGCCACAATTTTTGTGTTGCTGTTTAGACAAACTCAGTCGTAATATGTCAAAGACTTGCTGTTGTATTCAGTATATTTTGGTACCCCAATGATTTTTTTTTTCAATACTGACATTAACGAGTTTTTCAACTCATCCTTTTTTTTAAATTATTAAGACACAATTGATATAGCTGTAATTAAGGCAATAAATAATTTGTCATTATTTCATTTGTATTTCAGTATTTTTCCTGCTTATTTGTAAAAGTAGCAAATGGTATTTTCATGTATTACGTGATTTTCACACGCGTTAGGCATCTTTAAAGAGTAGATTTCCAAAACTAACTTATTTGCATTCACATATACCCTTCTCAGAAAGCTTTTTTCTAGGCTGTTTCTGGCTCTGTTGCATGTTACCTTAACCTTAAAAAGAAAATTAGAAAAATGAGAGTATGGATCAGAAGTACCAAATGTAGGTACATCATCCTTCCCTACGTGTTCGCGTCTTTGTCTCTGAACATTTGCAAGGCTCAGAGGATTCTTTCTGGAGAAGAGCAGCAGGGTAGGTACAAACTAAGGGGTGAGGTCCTGAGCTGGGTCACTTGTTTGACTCC